TCTGTTCCTATTGGTTGACACTGTCCGGGCTTCTGGCCATATAAAAAGGCCTGTGTGCCTTTTGTTCTTGCTTGGTTGTTGTAGAAGGAGAATAAAGTGTTTGTTCATCAATTGCCATGTGTCTTCATCATTCACAAGCGAACGAAGGACTTAACAATATCAACCTTGATAAACCATCCTGGCAATCTGGACGTCAACGCTGCTAATATTGAATATTCTTGCTTTGACAAAATATGCAGAACTGTCTGGCATTTTTAGAGTTAATTCAGATGATAGAGAAAAGGGAGGGGAAATAACAAAAGCCAGAGAAAAGGAACAGAAGTGAATCTCTGCCCTCTGGGCTAATTGGAAGATGTGACTTGTGACTGCAAGATAAGGGAGGGGTTTAGCAAGAAAAGTTAGATGCCAGCAAGAGGAATTCAGATTCTGGCATAAACCTCCATGATGTGCCGTCAATTTATAACACTGGTAATAAAGGATATAGGATAAACATGCCTGGAAGTTCTTTGAAGTGTTTCATTAGTCGGAACCATGACACTGGCTTTATAAAAGGATGGCAAACTTGAAACAATATTGGATTAATGGTTGACAATCTGGGTATACTTTTACATGAATTAGAATCAGCACTTGTAATTTTATTTGGCTGCAGCAATAGACTAAGCTTAGCTGTAGCTGAAATTTATGGAGAAGATTTTGGTTAAATATTAATTTACTCATTTATTAATAGGATTAAAATGTGATGTTCTAAACCTTCAGCTACAATTATTACAAAGGGAACCATGTCTTCATCTATTAAGATATCTCATGGAATTTGTCAAGGATTCCTTTTATTTTCTTTTATTTAGCTTGATATCTGAAACAGGGGAGAACAACGGGAGAAACGGAAAAAAAAGTAATTCAGAAATATTTTATGAGTAAGTGGACAGAGTAATTACTGGATAGGATGAATGAAATTTTAAACTACATATCAAGAACTCTGGATTTAATAGGCATGTACCAAATCGAATTGTTCTGTTAAGATGGATATACTGTACCATCCCAGGTTTACCCTTGTGATGCCTTTATACTTTTGAGCTTATTCTCTGTCAACAAAATGGAATCCATATGATTCTCTCTGCCCAAGGATCAATGTTCCTATAGTGGAATAGCTGAGCCTGCAGACTAAAAATTTGGAGGTCTCAGCAATAGTTGAAATTGCCCTAAATGGATCTACATCACTTAGCTCCCCTTTTTTTTGCCTTGTGGAACAACTTGGTAGTGATCAGAAAACTTAAGATGTAGGCTTGAATTTAAAACTGAATTATTTATTGCAAGTGCAGTATGATAATATGTTTTTCTGTTGTTTCCTTGCTTTAGTTTGTTTTTGTTTTCTTTATAATATGTATTTTTTTAAAAAAATATCTGAAAATTAAATGATAAAAACCTGTTTAAAGAAATGCTAATGTAGGAGCATCATTTATTGAATATTTAAAATGGGAATTCCCATATAATCCTTGCAGGTGCATATCTATAAATAAATGATATATCACAACAATGCCCTTTCTTTGGACATGGCTCACAGAGATGTGTCACATTCCCTAAACATGAAGAAGATCTCAGAAGATACTTTGCTTTCCTTTGGTGGGGAAATCTGCATCAATCAGAAGTCCCTTCTAAAAAAATTGTAACTTCTGCACATGCACCATGTAGAAATATTGAGCTGCTGTTTAAATAAACAGCAACTTATACCTCACTTTTCAGTGGTGCATTATACAGAGACCCAACAAATCCCTTTGAGAATCTGTAGAGTTCTAGTATTTCAAACTAAAGGAAATACAACTTTTTGCCTGTTCCCCAAAAGAACCACATCTTTTCAGGTCTATATCCGGCCTGCTGATGTTATAAATGACAGATCTGTGACTCATATTGATGATGTGTGGGTTAGATTTGGAGATTTTTCATCTTTAGTTCTGGATAGAATTGCAATTCCCCAGACAGAACTGGTATCCAACTGGGGGGTTGTCTAGGACTCATGGCTCTTGCTTGAAGAGCAGTGAGAGCTCTGACCAGGACCGTCTTTGCATAACTCCCAGACTGGGAAGTCCTGCTCTAAGTCATTTGTGTTTCACTCATCTCCTGCTTGTATTATCACAGCAGGGTCTGCCTAAGGCTGTTCTCAAAGACTATCTGGGGAAGTTAAAATTGGTTCAGAAGTTCAGACTATCTGGGGAAGTTAAAATTGGTTCAGTGCTAGAAGTCATGTGCGTGCCACAGTACACCTATGTAAAACTACTGCGTTGTAAACTGCAGTGGATTTCTTTGAAATAAATATAAAATAAGATTTTTTTTATGAAATTGCCCCTATGGGTGTCTCTCCAAGAATCTTTTTTTTAGAAAAGAAATAGTGGTGAAGCAGGACTGGTGGACGTATGGTAAAATAGTATCTTTCAGTTTTGGAGAGCCTATCCTCAAATCTAGGAAAGAATTAGAATTAGGAGGTCACACTTGTCTCTAGTTTACATATCAACAAATGAAGGAAAGGTTTAAACTAGACAAAAAAGGCCATAGTTTTGAGTTTGCTAAAAATGAATTGGAAATTCTACTATGTGGTAGTGATGATCATATAATTGCCAAGGTCTATAAAATGTTATTAAAATTGAATTTGGAAAATGAACATATAAAACACTGTATGATCCAGTGGGAAAGAAATTTGGGGTATAATGTGATGTTTGAACAATGGGATAAAATATGGATAAAAGGCTTTACATTAACATTAAATTATAACCTAAAAGAAATGTATTTAAAAATGATGTATTGCTGGTATTTAACACAAGATAAGTTATCTAGAATGCATAAAGGTATTTCAAATGAATGTTGGAAATGTAAATGTAAAGAAGGGACTTTTTATCATTTATGGTGGACATATGATAAGGCAAAGAAATATTGGTGTAGGATTCATATATTAATGCAGAAAATTCTTAAAGTGAACATAAAGATTAAACCAGAAACTTTCCTTCTGTGTCTAATGGAAAGAGAACTGGGGGAAAAAAATTGGAACTCTGATTTTATATTTGGTGATGGCAGCAAGATTGCTCTATGCACAAAAATGGAAGGATGCCTCGATTCCTACTATGGACGAATGGTTACAAAAGCTGATGGAATTAGCAGAGAGGGTGAAATTGACTGTGCTGATAAAAGAAAAGAACATAAATACTTTTGTTTCTACCTGGAAACCGCTTCTGGACTTTGTTCTTGAGATGGAAAAAAATGATATCATGATTTTGGGTTTTACCGATTAGACTGATTTGCCGATACATAAATGGCTAGTGCATACTACTATAGAAATGTAAAAAGTTGAGATTTGATTTTAATGTCTGATTTTACTGCAACAGAGAAGATCGGAAGTCAATGCCTTTTGTTTCTTTCCCTCCCTTTCTTCACACCTTTTTTGTTGTCCCTTTTTCTAATGTTGTCCCCTACTATTTGCTTTTGTATTTTCACATTTTATGTTATAAACAAATAAAACTAATATTCTAGAAAAAAATATATATGTAAACTGCCTTTCTATAGGCTTTAGGATACAATTTAAGGGGCTAGTTATCACCTATAAAGGCCTATATATAGCTTATTTATGGCACTGTCTACCTTCATTTGTATCTGCCTAGCCAACAAGATCCAACAGAATATTTGTGTATTTCCCAAAGGACTGAAGGGATTTTGCAGAGAGGTTGCCTCCAACATTCATGTTTTTTTTTCCTTCTCCCTTTCTCAGCCAAGTTTAAAACCTTGCAATACATTTATGATATATAAGGTGGCAGAAATGGTTCCTAGGGCAGTTCTTTAAAATGCTATCATACTAGGGGCCAGAAAAAAATAAGCTATTTCTGCCATTTCTATGGGATTTTAGGGTTGGTTATTTTCACAATGTCATTTCTGAGAACAAATGCTTTGTCTCCTCTCCTATTTCATTGCAGGTGCCTTCAACTGGTCCATTGTATTTCTGAAAATAGAAAATTTTTTAGGAGTTGTAGCATATTTCAGTGTAGCTTACATGGTGAGAGGTGTCTCCCAAACTATTTAGTATTTGTGTTTGTGCAAATACTGTGTCTGGTTATAGAAGGAGGAACTGGATTTAAGAATCATCTTCTCTATAATTATTATTAAGTTGGTTCCCTGTAATATAAGAGTCATAACTAAAAAGAAACTGCTGGTTTTGGTGTTTTTCTCTTTCCGTCTTCCTTTTTTTTATTCTCATGCCATGTATTTTAGATTAGCTAACCCTACAGAAAATAATATACTGGGTTAATTATTCCAACAAGTAATATTTTTAATGATATACTTTGTGCCTATATTGTCCTTCCTTCAAGCAATTCAAACATTATCCATGAAGTTATGCCATTCAATATACAAAATAAGTTTGAAAGATTATTTAGGCTACCTACAAAGCCTTATGGATAAGCATGTATCTCCAAATTCTCCTTATTCTCTATATCAACTGGTATCATATGTAGGAATTTGATGAAGAAATATAATTTATCAATAGTTCAGCATATGATATTTTGAAGATATAATGATACATAGAGATACACATACAGACATATATTTTAATTTCATATTGGTAATTTAATTTCATATTTTATTCACTGAAGGTTCCTGAGAAAATAATGCCTGTTTTATGTCTCTCTAAACAGATAGCAAATTTAGATTACTACACTCAGGTCTTCTTCTGATCTAGCAGTTTGATTTCTTGATTTGTGCAGTGTACTGTAAATCCACAACTTAGTGATAAAACCATAATCACACTGTTGGTTTCCACTGTGGACAGAAGAAAACTTTCTTTTAGGCTTAGAATAAAACCAACGGTGACATTCTTGCAGAGCAACCACATTGTGGCAGGAAAAAGCTCAAGATTGGGGGCTAGAACAGAAGAGGGTTTTTTCCCCCCTTCTATCTTAAGATATGAATAGGTGGGCTTTTTGAAAAGATTTTCCACCTATGATCTTACCATTACATCTCTTGTTCCGGAATGTCCAGGGAGTATATAAGTGTGTTGAAATGAGCCTTGAAATATTCATCTTCCCATCGTTCTAAGAAAAAGATCAACCATGAGACTTTACTTGACAGTCATTCTAGCTATTTCTTTTCTGGAAAACTTTCAGGTCCATATTATCAAAGGTATGTTTTGGTTTTTCTTTCTTTTTCAATTCAAGAGTAATATCTGAATTGCTATTCCTAGCTGGGATAATAATTGTATTACATGCTCTTCCAGGAGTAAAATCACCTTCAGTGAGGTCTTAATTTCTTCCTGATCCATTTTCTGTCAGTTTAAGATATACATTTTTATGGATGTTTTATTGTATAAAAGAGTTGATTTTGTTGTGCCTTTTAAGTCTTTAATGTCTCTTAAGATGGCATGATCTCCTGGAAGTTCTCCAAATATTTCTCATAATTAGCTGTGCAACACCTTTAAAGTATGCAAAATATAAAATGTAGGTCTGTAGATCTATACATATGTTGTATATAGTATGTTTAAATGTGTGTTATGTATGTGTACACTTTGAGAGCAAGCAACTAAATTTCATTTTTAATGTGTGCCATTGTGCCCACAGTAAAAAATGACAATAAAGTCTCTCTCTCTCTCTCTCTCTCTCTCTCTCTCTCTCTCTCTCTCTCTCTCTCTCTCTCTCTCTCTTTCCTCATGACTATCAGATTGCTATTAGGCTGCATGCTCTGGTAGGATGTTGTAGTGCCAGTTTCATATGTGTACACAACTCCTTGAATGCATAGAGAACTGTGTATATTTGGTAACCCATTCTGCAAGCAGATCCTTGATTTCTTGGTTGCAAATGGATACCAAATTAGGCAACTGTATAGGCAACCATCTTTATGTCTAAATCTTCTTTTTCTTTCTTCCATTAAATAAAGATATCTTGGAATTTTGCCCCAATGTTCATGAAATATCATGAGCAATTTTTCTAATTCATAAGGAAAAAAATCCCTTATGAATTAAACGAATGTCTTTTTGATCCTTACAATTATATGAGTAGGATTTTGATCCTTTTACAATGATATTTACAGATTATGGATAAAATATTTCCATTTTTATTAGGTCTCAAATCTGACTTAAACATTTTTGAAGCATTCCTTAGATAAACTATAATGGATGCTTTAAATCTAATGATTCCTATATTGAAAAAGCTTGAATTTTAATTTCACAATTGTGCTGTCGCTAGTTCTGATTCAGTACCTTGGGTATGGTTACTTTTTCCAATAGATCTGGGGATCTACTTACTGTGTGGGATATAGTCTCATTGTTCTTATTCTTTAAATAAATTAAAGTACGGTATGTGTCCCTGCATTGTTGGAGAATTGGAAAGAACATTCTGCAAAATAATGCCAAATGATATTGATTATCTACAGTAATTGGTGGAAATTGCAGTTAATAAGCATTATTTTTTTTTAGAAAAATAAATGTACCTGTGCTGCTAAGGTATGATTACTAAGAAAAGAGACAGCTTTTAGAGTAGGCAGTTAATCTCTCTAGATATTAGTTTTATATTTAACTACACACACACACACATGTATGTATGTATGTATGTATGTATGTATGTATGTATGTATGTCTGAGATGCTGTTCAGGTATAATCTTGATACCTGGAGGAGGAATATGTGCATCTAAGTGAACAGACAGGATTGAAAAAAATGAGAATATATATAATGTATTGCAGATGTGCAACCTTGAGCAAAGATGCCATAATCCATGTCATGAATTACTATGATTTATTGCAAAGGAAATTAAAGAATGGAAAGACGTTCAGGAATTAGGTGGTACATATTTAAGATTTGAAAATTTGACAACAACAAAAGACTTTCAACAAATTTTTTGTGCGTTTTTTTTTTTAGGAACCCTAGGGACTCAAGCTCTGCCACATAACTCTTGTGTAGACCTACATACAAAAGAAATAGGAATTAAAAAACTTGCTGATTATGAAATACATCACCATCCAAAAAAAGTTGTAATGTGAGTATCTAATCTTCAGTCATAGGCCTGGAAAAGAATGTTCCACCAGCAAAAATGGAAAGAGATAGCAAAACACACATGAGTACAATTGTGTAGGTATTAATAGACAGAAGAGTCATTTAATCCCAAAATTGATTTTCTGGTGATTGCAGGGAGAAAAATAAGCAAGAACACATATTATTGCCTTTATATCCTCTCTTATTTGCAACACAAAATAAAAAATGTAGTTTCCCAAGTCAATTAGAATACACTATATACATCCAAAGAATATTTGAATACACCTTGGTACTCCCTATTAGTCTAGGGTACCAAAAATCAGGAGGAGTTTGTAGCATATTTTCAGATTAAAAAGCATCAGTTTGTGAGTTTTAGTTCCTATTGTCAGATGCCATTCTATGCTTTTGATGAAGTGAGCTGCAACTTACAAAAGTTTATTCTTTTTAATAAAATGTGTGTCTAATAGCAGAAAAGGTGCTACTAAAGTTGTTCAGATTATTTTAGTACAGCTTTATAAAGTGTTTCTACAACAGACTAGTCAAATGCTTCTAATAATTTAAGAGCTGACAGTGAAAATTAAAGGTTTTTTTTAATTTGTCTCTAGCATCTGGTGTTCAAAGGTACATTTTAAATTACAATTGCTATCATCTCTAATCACAGGCTATGCTCACTGAAGTTTGTGAGAGTTAGAGCTCAGAATAGCTGGAGAAAGATAGGTTAGCTGCTATGTTCTTCAGTACTTGTCAGCTGCATTCTGATAATATTTAATCCAGCCAGTTAAAGTCTCTGTATAGACAACCACATATATACTGTACAGTATACTTATACAGTGTACCTATATCTTTGCTTACGCAGCCTTTAATCTATATCTGGTACCACATATTGACTTTAGGGCTGACAGGTTTACCCAGGCACGCTCTACAAACCTCTTGGTATAATCCAAGTGCTTTTTCACTGCTTACTACTTTTAGGAACTAAGCAAAGCTAGATGATGATGATGACAATGATGATAGTAGTAGTAGTAGTAGTAGTAGTAGTAGTAGTAGTAGTAGTAGTAGTAGTAATCGGTCTAGTCAATGTAAGAGCCAAGAAAATGCACAGAAGTTGGTAGCCTCATTTCAGGTTCATATAGGACGATAATTCAGCCATTATTCAAATCCCTGATAGTTATTACAAAATCAAGATTGCTGTTTTAATCTTATGTGTAGTAAAACAGCTGTGAAATTATGCACTGAATTGTAATGTTTATCAGTCCAATTTAGGTTGTTGGAATGTTTGTAATTAGTCATAATTTGGAAATTTTGCAAATAATAATGTGGCAGATGTGACAAGCAAACTAGATTGCAGTGACAAAAAGTTGGAATAATAATAATAACAATTCTTTTACAATGTGTCAATCTTTTCTTTTGATTTCAGTCAACAAATCTGATAAATCTAATAATATTTGAAGTCTTGATTCTTTTAATTTGCTAGATTTTTGCAGTAAAACCAAGATACCATTTTGTGGCATTTTAAAGATGAATAAATTTATTATCACACAAGATTTTAAGGATGTTAGAAAACGGACCACAATAGAACAGGGGCATGAAGTACTCAAAACAAATATGTAAATTGATTTAAAAAAATGTTTGACTGAATGTGAAATACTGCCAAATCTGTCAATTCCATTTACTGCACAGTAGTTAGTTCATATCTATTATTTAATATCTCAGCATCAACAGCAGAGGCTAAAATCAGAACTTACTGGCTATCTTATTGGCTTCCAATAATATTATTTTCCATCACAATCTAGTGCTGGTATAGACCTTAGAATATTACTTCAACATTCTTTATATTTCAGCATTCAGCATTAATTGCAAAAACTGTTTAATTTATGGAAGCTTGCTTTTGACTCGATTTTTATTTTCTTGTAGCTTAATTACCAGAAAAAAAATCAAGATCTGTGTGCCACCTGATGCTCCCTGGGTGAATAAGGTCATCAGAAAATTGGACAGGAGGCCTAAAACAAGAAACCATAGAAACATACATGGATCTGATAACCTGACCAACAGAACAACTATATAATGTCTGAAATTACTTACAGGAAATAAAAGTTCAAAACCATTAAAATTTCACTGGAATAAATTCACTGCTACACTCAAGAGCTGATTGATTTTTGACTTTTTGGTGCTGTCCATGGGCTTAATTACTTTAGATATGTGTGGTTTATATTTATTATGCAAACCAAATCTATCGCTATTTTCAGAATTTCTTCCAGATTGGATTCTTAATAGAATTTTGATTCTTCCAGCAGATTCATTTAGCAAAAGCATTATTCTGTGTAGTTTTTGTATTTCTCTGCTAGATCATCTGAGAGCTTCCCACAATTAGAAAGCAATGGTATGAAGGAATACCCATTTGTGACAGAATGGGAAGAAGCTCTGGAAATAATGAGAATGTCACACTTAGAGAATGATCTGAGTTTTTCTTAATGAATGTGTCCATTGCAAAACTTCTTTCAGAGATAATATCTATGCCATATCACCATGTTGAATAGTTTATCAGTAAATCACTACTTTTTTCCTCCTTAGTATTCCAATTATCAAAATAATTTTGGTATTATGAAGGCTGCAGATAGAAAAAAGACTCAGGCATTGCCTACTGTTTATAAGATAAATGGAAAAAAGCAGTATCAGCAAAAAGGTTAAAAATAAGTATGTATACAGATATGTGTGTTCCTTTGAACAAAATTGCTAAGAACACTTCATAAATGGATAATACTACATTAATGTATAGTTTGATTTAACCATGGTTTGTTGAATAAGCCATCTTACAATAAGCTAGATTGAAACAAATTATTTTATTGTTTACCACAATGTATGGTTCATTGCCTGTTACTGCCATTCTTTTCTGATGATGTATTTTTTTCAGTCCCTCAATGTTTAATGTTAACTTACTTATCAGTTGGCATTTAAACTAGGATTGTTATTCCTTTCTGTATTGCATTAATGATTTAATATTTAATGTTAACTTACTTATCCATTGTCCAATTTGCTATTAAAGTAAATATCACAGAATTCAATAGATATAATATATTGAGGATATTTAAAGATATTTAAATCTTGGTTCATTGAAGAACTATGCATATTGTATATCAATGTGAAATAGTCACATGAATATGTTTTCATTTAATTCGTAATTTTACAACATCTAAGGTTAATGTACTTTTATCATGCTTTTATCATACCTTTAAATAAACCTACTATTTTATAGGCATTTGAAACAATATATTTTATACCTTATACCAGTGATGGCTAACCTTTTAGAGATCGAGTGCCCAAAACCTGGTCTCGCCCCACTCCACCCCCTGCCCCCCCTGCTCCGGCCCCCCCACCTCCTCCCCCACCTGCCTGCAAGGCCACTCACCACCTCCAGGGCCAGATGCACATTGCCCAGGCAGCCCAGCAACGTTATGGTGATTACGCCCTCTGCCTGGGCCCTGTAGCATCAACTGTGCACGATGGGGTGTGAGGGCAGAGTCTTCTCTACGCTGCCTGGCTGCCATGTCCTTGGCTGCACTGCTCCGTGTGGGCTACGCTTGAGGTGACTCTCCTTCAGGGGGGCTGCTGAAGAGGAGGGGGTTGAGGGGGGAGGTGAGGCTGGGGCAACGGCATGTGTGCCCACAGAGAGGGCTCTGAGTGCTGCCTCTGGCACCCGTGCCAAAGGTTCACCACCACTGCCTTATTCCTTCTAACAGTGAGTAGAATTCATGGGAAGATCTCCAATAAAAAATCCTTTAGACTCAAATAAATTATATCTCCGCCCCCCAATTCTGGCTTCATTTTACTTAAGCTCAGTTTTCAATTACTTAAAGCCTATTATCAGGAAACTAAAAGATGGAATGAAAAGCAGTTTTTTTATAACAAGTTTTATTGGTTTTCTAGTTTTACATTTGAGTATTTGGAAAGCAGCGTGGTGATTGGGTAGTCAATAGTACAATAACAAAATCTTTAGTACATATCTCAGGTTACATCATCAAAATATTCCTTCTCTATTTCCCTTAACATTTGCTATATCATATTTAAGCTAGTAAATTTCTAATTACAACTAGCTCAGTTAAAACATTTATCATTATATTTTGCTTATAAATATCCATATCCTGTATTTAAATTTTACCTAATTTTTAATTACAATGTTCCAGTTTAACCTTTAACATCCATAGTATTTAAATTTTGGGTAACCCAAATTTCCTTTATTTCACTATATAAAAAATTATAATACCTAAGATATACCTATTACTTACTTGAATATATTCTTATTTTATTTCATAAACATTTTTGTTTTGATTATTTCCAAAAATGCACTTCCCATCATCCATCCTACCTCATACTAACCACTCTTCCAATATGCAAAGAAATAATATTATTCCCTATAATTCAGTCAGCCTACCAAAGGTTCTTCCCCACAGGTGCCTCAAACTGGATTGAGCCTGTTCTCTGCAAGTTCCCACAATACTAGACAGAATTCACTGCCTGCCATTGAAACATGGTTCTGTTTCTCAAGTGTAAGCACTTGGCTGTTTTGTAAGGGATTTATGTGCAGCCGGGATTCATGCATGTGGGCTACACTGTAATATGTGGGGAGTATCTGATCCCGTTCTTTTGAAAAACAAAATGAAGCAGAGACATTTCTCCCTTTCCTGTGCTGGCTTCTTTCATCACTGGCAACAGTCAGAAGAAGCTGAAAATGATACAAAGCAGCTCTGTGAATGAGCTTCTTTTATACAGGTCAATACATATAGAAAATTGTACTGATAGTCCTCAACTTATGATCACAATTGAGCCCAAATTTCTGTTACTAAATGAAACATTTGATAATTGAATCTTGCCCCATTTTACAATCTTTCTTGCCACAGTTGTGAAGTGAATCACTGCATTTGTTAAGTTAGTTTCATGGTTGTGAAGTGAATCTGGCTTCCGCATTGACATTGCTTGTCAGAAGGTAACAGAAGGTGATCATGTGACCCCAGGACGTTCATAAATATGAGTCAGTTGCCAAACATCTGAATTTTGATCATGTGACCATAGGATGCTGCAATGGTCGTAAGGGTGAAAAAGGGTCATAAGTTACTTTTTTCAGTGCTGTTGTAACTAAACAAACTGTTGTAAGTTGAGGATTATCTGTAGTAAGACAAAAACAAAAATAGCAAGACATCTCTTTGAGATAAATCATAACTAAATGTTGCACCTCTCTTTTAAATGAAAATGCACCAATTTATTGCAAGAACAAAACAAAAAAATATCTTTTTGACTGGAGGGAATAGGAAAGAAGATGAGGCTATAACAAAAGGTAAACTTGATTTGATTGATATTAAATATTAAAATTAAATATTAATTGCAGATGCACACGATTATTCTTTTGCATTTAATAATTTTAGCCACTCTGTCCCACTAAGAGTTATGTTTTGGGAACAATCATCATATGGGCTATGAGAATAAGGGTACTAAGACCTGGGTTTGTTTCAGGGGAGCATCTCCACTTTAAAAGTACCATCCATTAACTTTGCCAAGAGTAGAGAGAGTAATTCTCTCAATGAAACATTTCCAAGTAGCTAAACATTCCTCAGTTGGTATGCAGCAATTCTGACTTGATACTCATCTGTTTTTAATGCTGCCCTGAAATCTTTAAGTTCTCTGGAAAAGCACATGCCTTGTTAACTGTGCAATGCAAGCCAGTTTGAGCCAACATGGAACCAGTTTAGTTGACCTTTGTCAAGTTCTTTCTTCTGAGGAAGGAAATTTGAGTTCATACAAGCAAAATGTCAGAGACTTTTGCCTCCTGAAAGGGACTTTTTTTTTTAAACGAATGCCTTAGTGCAGTGGTTCTCAACCTTTTTAATGCCGCGACCCCCAACCGGTCGTAAATCGAGGACTACTCAACCGGTCGTAAGTCGAGGACTACTCAACTGGTGCAGCACCATTTGCAGAATGGGACTTTTGGCGGGCCCAGCAGGGCAGAGACAGCCTGGACAATTCCTATTGGCTATTCAAGAGAGTCTATTCTATTGGCTTTCAAAACCCAATAGAATAAAAGGGAGTAGCACAGCTAAGGAAAAGGGGAAAAAAAATGGCGGACTGCATTGTTTGGCAACCCCCGTGAAATGGTCGTTCGACCCCAAATGGGGTCCCGACCCACAGGCTGAGAACCACTGCCTTAGAGGCCTTGCATATTCTATCGTCTGTATGAAGTGAGCTTGGAAATTAGTGAAACAGAAAAGAAGCAGTTATTTCTCATCAATATGGGATGGGACAGCATAGCTTGATACCATTTTCAGATCTGTTCTTTTGAAAAATAAATACCAGGAATAGCAAAGAAGGCATTGAAAGACGGCAACATTTTATGTATTTCTATTCTCAGAAAAACAGAATAACAAAAGAAAAGGAAAACAGAATAACTGAGGCCAACCATACTATAGTTCATGAAATGATTTAAAAAACCCCTTTCATTCTGGATGTTTATCTTGTGCTCCAAACAAGAGTCCCAGAAAAGAACAATTTTTCAGTGCCTGGGGCAGGGGGAAAGGGACTCAAGGTATGCCTTTCTACTTAATCTGGGATAGATAGGCAATCCTGCAAATAACCAATAATCAGTACCTTGAATTGCACTAAACGTCTATAGAGAGTCATTGCAGCTTCTACAACACTGGTGTTACATAGACATATCAAGGTGCATCTATAACTACATACAGTCACCACATTCTGAGCCAATTGCAACTTCTGGGTGCTTTTCAAGGGCAGCCTTATGTACATAGTTTTGTAATAGAAAGGGGAATGTGACCAGGACATAACTTAGTAACATTGAACAGAATTTCCTGATCTAAGAATAGGACAGTTGTACACAAGATGGGTTTGTGAAAAGTTTGTTTCTGAACATGGCTACAGTCTGCTCTTCAACTCAGAAGTAAGAATCCAAGAGGACCTCTAAATTTTGCACAAGTCCTATTTCGGAGAGTGCAACCTCATTCAGAAAGGGGGGGGGGCTATCCTGAATGGAGAAACCTTAAAACTCACAGTTACTTGGTCTTGCTTGGATTGAGCCAAAATTGGTTCTTTCTGTTCAGACTACACAGCTTCCAGACATTGGGAAAAAACCTTGATTGCAACATTTGCTTGGCCTATGTAGATTTATCTCTCTCTATGGATATCATCAGTGTATTGTTCATATCTGACCCTATGTGAAGAATGATCTAACTAAATGGCTTCACGTAGATCAACGAGAGCTAGAACTGATACAATACTCCCATCTTAGTCCTGCCAAAAGTCACTTACTTGTATGGTCAATGCCATCTCAGTACTATGTCCCAATCTGAAATCTGATTGAAAGAGATACACATAATCCATTTTTCCAGGGTCCTCTGCAGCTGTAAACCAATCACTTTCTCAACAACCTTTTCTTTAAAGGCAAGGTTTGAGAACAACAAAAAAATGTCCAGTACAATTTTATCCAGAGATGGCTTTTTATATTTTATTAGTTTTTATAGGATTAGGAATAAGGTGGTGTCGGGTTTGGGGTTGGGATTTGGGTTAGGATTAGGGTTAGGTTTTTTTTTTTTTAAATAACATTCTCAATATTTAGCAAACAGCATAATGTCTGGGTTCATGTATTTTAAAAAAACAATGAGTAGTAGTTAATTATCATAAACAATATGTTAATTAACTTGATGGTCTTCTTCTTGCTAATATATATTCAAAGTTACATATCACATTCCTTTCTCTCTAACTTGTTTTTCTAGAGGTGGTTTTTTGAGGGGTATGGAAACTATTGCCTTTTAAAGAACTACAAGGACCACTCTATTTTTCAAACATTCATATAGCATTACCTTGATCCAATTACTTGCCATCTCCTGGGAGTTTTTAACTTACAAGGAGAGACATAGCTCTAAACACAGGTGGAAATAATCATAGGACTGAGGATCCTATCTACTTCCTTGGGGCAAATGGATTTAAATTCTCCCAGTTAACTACATTAGACTGCTTCCTAGTCTGTTCTAAAGGACCTACACTCTCGGGGGAACAACTTTAATTGACAGATGCCTAGAGAGGTCTTCTCAATGAACTTGTCTTCTTTCCTCAGGAGAGACTGGATAAACAAGGTCAATGGATGGCTTTCAGTGAAGACAATTAGAGTGCAGAAGTAGCTGCATCTTATCACTTTTATTATTTTTAATTTATTGCTTTTATAAATTATTTTATTATTGATGCTCTGAGTG